GGGAGCACTTGTTGTCCCCCTCCGCGAGCCTGTCGCCGGCGTGCAGCACGCCCGGGTCCAGAGGTTTGCTGTCCCCCGACCCGCCATCCGACTGGATCATCTCGCTCAGGATGGAGGCGATCTCCTTGCTGTCCTTGGACTCTGCTTTCATGGGCTGCATGGCGAGGCGGCCGGGTGAACTCTGGGAGCTGAGCTGCCTCAGCACCGGGGGCGGGGTGGAGTAACCCACCGGAGTGCTGGGACCTTCGCTCAGCCCCTGCATGGAGTTCATGGAGGTGCTGGGAAAGGGTCTGGTGCCACCAGTGCTACCGCCACTGCCGCTGTTGGCCATGCCTACGGGGGAGTGCATGGTGGGCATGGTGGGTGAGAAGGGGTTGCCAGGCACTCTGGGTCTGGGCACCAGCCCTGGACTGACCCGATGCCTTGGAGACATGAACTGTGGTGGGGTAATCCCTGGACTATTCATGGGAGAGCTATTGAGGTTCAAAGTGTGGTTACTGTTCTGGGGACCGGCTTGTCCCTGGCTTAAGGCAACGTTGGCTCCTATCTGGTTCCCAGGTGAACATCCAAAGCTGGTTTGGCTGGTGTTGGAGTTGCTGTTGTGGAGGCCGGCGCTGGGCTGCTGGTTGACATTGGTGGCCAACATGCTGCCATTGGAGGGAGGGATGGAGGGTGGCAGGGCCATGCCTTGCCCTGGGGAGATGCTGGGGTTCAGTGAGGGGCTGACACGGGGAAGGGGCATTGCAGAGTTAGTGTTCTCCTGGGGCGAGAGCATGCCGTGATCCCTGTGGAAGAAGAAAAAGAGAGGAGAAGTCACAAGAAGTTTTATCCAAGCCTGTATTGTTGCTCAGGCAGCTCCTGCTCCCTGTCCCTGCTGCAGAGCTCTGAAGTCTGGAGAGCAGCATCTCACAAGCTCTGGTAGTCCCGGACTTTCCATCTCCACCAGAGCTTCTGGATCCATTTCTGCCACATCGATGGAGTGCAACAGCTTTACCAACTCCCCAGAAATGTGACTCTGCTCAGGATCTTGGCTGCTCACCAGCTAAACCCCAAGGGCAGGAGGAGCTGTGGATGCTGCCTCCCTGGAAGTGTTCAAGGCCAGGTTGGAGGAAATTGGAGCAACCTGGTCTAGTGGGAGGTGCCCTTGCCTATGGTAGGAGGGTTGGAACTAGAGGAGCTTTGATGTCCCTTACAACCCAAACCATTCTGTGATTCTATAATTCTTTGGGTCTGGTGCTTCCATGTGGCTGGAGGAGAACTATGCTCCAACAGCATTCCCCTCCATCCCAGCCCCCTTGGATTTCTTGATTTCTTGGAAGTCCACAGCATCACCTCTCCCTGTCCTGCCAGTTTGATAGAGCCTCTCCCTCCCCAAATATTTTAAGTTCTCCAGGGCAAGGCAGAAATATGAAGCATCTCTATAAACCTCCACCTGAACTCCTGGGGCCACCTCTTTGCAAAATAAGAATAATTAAGGGCAACCACTCTGTTGTCAAGCTGGTTTTCAGCCCCAGATTCCTCCTGGGGATCACACCTCTAAACCAGCATCACAGACCACCAGTGGATCCTCCTTCCACTGTAGGAAACAGAGCACTTTGATTCCTCTGATTGCCCAGCCAGGTGGTGGCAGGGCTTAGTGGTGGGTGGTGGGGATGTACCTGTCGATGACGTGGATGCCCATGATGAAAGGCTGCATCTCTGGGCTGGAGGGGTAGCAGAGCTTACACTTGGTGTGGGCACTGAGCACTGTCCCATCGCTCAGCGTGAATCGGTACGAGGGGCTGAAGGCCGTGCCACGTGTCATCACTGAGGGAGACAATCAGAAACACAAGAAACCCCCTTAGAAACTCAAGTCAGAACCCTCAACACCCTACAAGCACAAGAAGGATAGAAGGAGCAAAGGAGAGGGAAAACCTGCGTGGGACAACCATCTTCCCAGGAAACAAAACCATATGCTGCTGGGGAGGTTTAGATTGGACATTAGGAACAATTTCTTCCCCAGAAGGGTTGTCAGGCCCTGGCCCAGGCTGCCCAGGGCAGTGGTGGAGTCCCCATCTCTGGAGGGATTTCAAAGCCGTGTAGATGTGGTGCTGAAGGACATGGTTTTGTGGTGGCCTTGGCAGTGCTGGGTTAACAGTTGGACTTGACGATCTTAAAGGCCTTTTCCAACCAAAACCTATGATTCTACCTTGGCCAATCCCACAGACCCAGAGAATAAGAGGGTTGTGAATAATCACGGTGACATAGAAATCCTCCCAGTTGCTTCTCCAGCTCCAAAACCATTTCCTGCAGCAAGTAGATCTAATTCCATCCAGAGCCATCCTTGAGTGTTCAGAGCTTCCGAAGGGACCATCATTCAGTCCCCAGTACACAAGGCACTGACGAAGCCCAGCCAACAGGATGCTGCAGCTGTCACCCTGGCAGAGGTCTCCAGAAGCTGAGTGACCTCCTGCTCCTATGTTCCTACCCTCCCCACGTCCCTGTTGTGAACATTCTCATTGACACAGCAAAAATGCTCACGAACAAGCAAACAGAGCAAAGATGTCAACGAAAGAGCTCCTGCTTCTTCTGCTGAGACACTGGGGATGGCACTTGTGGGTAGCACAGGGAAGAAAAATAATCATACTTGGCTCCTATTTGTCTTAATTTTGTATTTCCTGAAAGGTGAGAGGGAACCTCCTGGCTGGAGGAGCTCCTCCAGTGTTACTCAGACCGTTCCCCTTTCCCTCTGGCACTTTGTGATCATTAAAGCATTTGTTTTTCCAGAAAGCCCTTATCCAGCAAGGAGAACCATGCTCCAGCTTCTCCTCACAGCTCCTGCCACTCAGTAGGAGAGCAGAGTAGTAAGGAAGAGGAGCCAGTTACCTTCTTGAAAGAGCTGTTTGGCATAGGAGGGCTCTCTGCCCTGAGGCTGGAAGAAGGCGTAGATGCATTTCCGCACCAAATCCTCCCAGCCTGTCCTGCCAGCGGCTCTCAGGGAACTGGTGTCAATGGAGATGATTTTACCTGGATGGAAAGAGAGAAGCCACATTACTCAAGCACAGCATAAGAAGCCCCTCAGGACAAATAGGTCCATAAGTGTGGAAAAATGAAGCCACATCCTATTTGGCGTCAGGCAGCAGTGGTGGGAGCACATGAGGATGTCCTCCAGAAGGAGGTGGAGGTTCAAGGAGCTTGCTCTGGAGCATGCACTGACCTCAGTGCACACCTTGGCCAGCTGAAGTGGACACAAAACCCAACAAGACGCACTTTGGTGTGAAGGGATGATCATGGTTCCAGGGTTGAGATCCCCAGATCCACACCCTCATCTGGTGGACAACCTGCTAGCCACCTTGCCAACATCCAAGGGTCCTCCAGGCAGGATCTGTTGCCTGCTTTCTCCCTGGACGTGAAACACCAGGCAGCATTCCTGGCTGTTTTACACATGAGCAAGAGTAGCGAGTCAGAAAAAAAATCTTCATTAAGGATTTTCAGGCGTTAGGGAAGTCCAGGATGATGATTAACCACCAGAAAGAAGGTGACCAGAATGCCCAGAAAGCAATATTTCTCAGAGAGCAAACCCAAATTTGAAAGGTGACAACTGTTTCATTCCCATCAATCAGCAACCTCAAAAGCCCCTGAAATCCCACGGAGCAGGGAGGGGCTCGTGTGTTGTACCAGCTGAGGTGGCAACTCAGTGGAAGTGCCTCCAGCTGAAGTGTCAACCACATGGTTCCTACCAGCCAGCGCTGCCATTCGCTGAGGACCAGACCATGCTCACGCTACAGGGTCCTGCACTGCACTGCTGGCCTCTGACCCCGGGGGCAACAAGCCCCCCCGAGCCAGGACTCCCCGGTGCTGCTGGGATGTTACCTGTGGTGTCTTGCTTGGTCACGAAGGACTCGGAAGGGGCAACGGCCGCGGGCCGAGGTAATCGTCTCGCGATGCAGATCAGACACGACTGGAAATCTTGCCAAAGCAGGAGAAGGGACCAGCGACATGAAAACCAGCCGTTACAACCACTGCTTGCAAATCAACATTTTAATTAAAATACCCTTCTTTGGCTTCACTGCCACGTCCTGCCCTGGAAGTGTTTATGCCGAGCAATCCTCTGGCCTTTCAAAGCAAATGGGCTCTGTCTAAACTCAATAAAATTTGCTGGAAAAGTGGTTTCCAGTGCTTGGTGAAATTAATTGTAAAGGCTTTTTGGATCTGGCAGTGCTGTACAATAAAAGTCAGCACTAAAAGCCAGCAACTGTCGGCTTCAGGCAAAGCATTTGGTCATAAAATACCATAATTTATTCCTTCCAGTCGTGATCTCCTGTGTAAACCGCAGTGGATTAATCCAGCTAATGTGCTAGAAAATAATAGCTGGGACACCAAAAGGAGAGTTAGGGCACTTGCAGGAAAGCAAGGGCTCCCATGATGCCAAGGGAACACTGCTTGTCCTGAGTTCCCCGCAGACCCCTGCCTGCGGGCAGCTGGTGCAGCCCAAAAACCTGCAGGCAGCACTGGGGACTACAGTGGTGAAGGTACAAGGTGGGTTTGTTGGGCATGCATGTCACTTGCTCCTCGTCCTGCCTGCACCGCCATCTCCATCCCACTCCTCCTGCCTGCACTGCTATCCCCATCCCAGTTCTCCTCCTGCCTGCACAGCCATCCCCACCCCACTCTTCCTCCTGCCTGCCCTGCCCAAATGCAGGGTGGGAAGCAGAGGATGCTCTGTCCTACCTTCTCCTTCCTCCTTGAAGGACTTGGGCTGGGACACGGTGAAGCACTGCATCACCTCGTAGCGCTGCCGAGCCTCCTGGTTCTCAGTGCCCGGCTCGTCGGGAGGCCGGATCAGCATCCTGCAGCTGAAGGTATGGCTGTTGCGCCTGGTGGCTTCCTGAGGCCAAGGAACTCCATTGACTGGGGTGAGAGAAAAAAGAGGGGTTGTTAGGAGCTGCACCGTGTACACACCCTCTCCCCAAGGGCTCTTCAGAGAAGGGGACAGAAGGAAAAGCGCCAGTGTGGGGGAAGAAAGCAGCTCATGGCCCAGGGCGGGGGGAGGGTGAGAGCAGAGGAGGTGGCAGAGCCCTCCCCACCAGCCTCTGGGGATCTTTTGGACCTGCTGAAGACCCTGTGCACAGACCCAAGACACCAGCCAAGCCTAAAAAGCACCTACAATGCCAGCTGATGTCAGCACGTTGTCATGAGAGCCACTCTGCTGGTGTTAATTAATTGCTTCTTACATCATCAGTAGGTCCTATCACCTCCATGTTACTGAGGGAAACTAAGGCACAGGATCTCTGAGTCACTTCCAGAGCTTGGGAAGACTCCTTGCCTCTTGCTCTTGTATTTGCAATTCCCCTCCACATACTTCTCCACAAGTCCAGCTGAACACCTCCATAGAAATGAATTTTTAATTTCACAGAATCACAGAATCTTAGGGATTGGAAGGGACCTTGAAAGATCATCTAGTCCAACCCCAATTTGCTTCCTCCTCATTTCTGGGCTAAGTAAAGCAGCAAGATCTCCTAGAACTGAAGCAGCAAAAACCTTCCCCTTTGATTTTTTTCTAACTTGGCTTTTCCCAAAATTCTCCAGGAACCAGTTGGCTGCAACCTCTTCAGGATATCCATATTCAACCCAAGTGATTTTGCCACCAGCAGCTTACCAAGTTTTCTTGCAAACTGATCAACGAGAAGAGCTGAGGGATGTGTGACATCCAAGGAAAGACAAAATACACAGTCTTAAACTGGGAAAGCACAGGGAAAATATGATGCCTGAAGCTCTGTGGGCTCAGTCCAATGTGTGCCCATAGATTTAGGTGGTTGAAGGGTTGAAGACATCATTGTATTTACCCAGAAGAAAGACAAGTGTGAATTTGGAAAAAAACCCACAACTTTCCCACCTGAACCCCCCCGGTCAAACTACTTGGAAGAGGCTCATCTTTTCTTGTGTTTCTTCAAAGGTGTGAGTGGATGAGGGATCAGTGATGTCTCATCCACATTAGACAGCTGGACAATGCTCCCCTGCAATCAAGAAATAAAACCTTCTCCTTCCAACACCCTGGGAGTGTCTTTACCCCACGATGCTTCCTCTCACTCTCACAAGTCTTTTTTTCTTTTTCCCCTGGTGTAAGGGACCACCACAAGCTCACTGCTCACACCAGCACCTCTTTTTCCACTCCAAGGTGCAGAACATCCCCATGCTAGATACTTGAAAAATACTGATGGGCTCCAAAACCAGCTGAGGACAACCCTCCTCCAGCTGGGAGGACATCCTGAATTAACTCTCCAAGCACCAGCTGGTAAAATAAAACCCACTTCGAGAGTCTTCTTACCTAGAGACTTTGGCAACAAGTTCTTGACGAACTCAGCATGATCCCCCACATGCAGGATGCTGTAGACACTGGTGTTCATGAGCTCCTCCTGGTTATAACCCAGGTAGCTGGTCACATTCTCGGAGACAAAGACAATCCTCCCTTCACGGTTCACAACGAAGAAGAAGCCGTCCAATGCCTGTAAGGGGAATAAACCCAGGCAGTGTGTGGGCAATGGGTCCTGGAGAAGGTCAGGATGCTCCACAGCCATGGGCAACCTTCTTCTGCCTCTTGTACATTGGTTTCATCCCCATTCTAGATTATAGCAGTGATCAAATGACAGCACTTTTGCTTAAATACATGAAGTCACAGACTGGTCTGGGTTGGAAAAGACCTTTTAAGGCCATCTAGTCCAACCCCCTGCAGTGACCAGGGATATCTTCCATGAGATCAGGCTGCTCACATCCCCGTTGAACCTGGCCTGGAATGCTTCTAGGGATGGGGCGTCTCCCACTCTTCTGGGAAACCTGGGCTACTGTCTCACCACCATCAGTGTAAACAATTTCTTCTTTCTCTCTACCCCAAATCTCCCCTCTTTTGGGTTAAAACCATCTCCCCGTGTCCCATCACTATAGGTCCTGCTCAAACGTCTGTCCTCATCTTTCTTACAGGCCCCTTTAAGAACTGAAAGGTGCAATAAAGTCTCCCAGGAGCCTTCTCTTCTCCAGACTGAACAACCCCAACTCTCTCAGCCTGTTTCCAGAGCAGAGCTGCTCCAGCCCTCACATCATCTCTGTGGCCTCCTCTGGACTCGCTCCAACAACTCCATGTCCTTCTTGTGCTGGGGACCCCAGCACTGGACCCAGCACTACAGGGCAGTCTCACCAGAGCAGAGCAGAGGGGAACAATCCCCTCCCTGGCCCTGCTGGTCCCACTGCTGGGGATGCAGCCCGGGACACAGTTGGTTTCTGAGCTGCCAGCACAGGGTGCCAGCTCATGGTGAGCTTCTCATCACCCAGCACCCCCAAGTCCTTCTCCTCAGGGCTGCTCTCCATCCATTCTCTGCCCAGCCTGAATTTGTGCTTGGGATTGCCCTGGCCCATGTGCAGGACCTTGCACTTGGCCTTGTGCAACCTCAGAAGGTTCTCACAGGCCCACTGCTTGAGCTTGTTCAGGTCTCTCTGGATGACATCCTATCCCTCAGGCGTGTCACCTGCACTACTCACCTTGGTGTCATCTGCAAATCTGCTGGTGTTGCACTCAATCCCACTGTTTCACTGATGAAGATATTAAACAGTGATGGTCCCAGTAGAAACCCCTGAGGGACATGCATTTAGGATGCAAGTGGCTAACCCAGCCTGCAATCCAATGGAGGAGGTCAAGCATGACCCAGACCAAATCTTACAACCCAGGATGATCTTCTGCTTATTGTAACAAGGAGATCATCAAGGTTCTTAATTCCTTGCTATGGTATAGGGGGGCAAAACTTGCTGATGCTATGAAGTAAGCTCAGTGCTGCAGAGCCAGTGCTTTTGTGAGGAGCCCTTGAGATTGCTGATTTACATTCTTCCAAGCTCGCATTACCTAAAATGTGTCATTCAGGCTGGATTTGGATTTCCTGGACTCTAATTCCTACTTATTCTGCTCATCAACCTAGCTCTGGTGGACTGCAACTTGATCCCAGACTGGGAGATGGTGCAGGGACAGGAGAAACTTGTGATGCCCAAAAATTGGTACCCATGGCATCGTCCTCTCTTCCTTGTCCTCCCACTTCCCTGTGCCAGCAGAGTTCCTCCAACAGAGAGCATCCAGGCTTTATTTAATGCTCTTATTAAAAATCAGTTTTTGCTCTGGAGCAACATTCAGTGAAAGAAATGGGAAGCATTTAAGAAAGGGGAAAAAAGAAGAAGAAGAAAGAAATCTTTTGTCAAAATGGTTCTGGCAGATTGGTGGCAATTTTCCTTATTCCCAGCTGTTGTCAAGGCAACCAGCCTTTGCACTTCGGGCACCCAAAAAAACCCAAAGACTCAGGCTGGGTGATAAACCCACCCAGCCCCTTCTTCCCAGGTGATACTGGCTTCAGGGGTCAAGAGGCAAAAAATTTACCTAAAAATGGCCAAGATGCTTTTTAATAGCCCTTTTTACCTCCATCCTTCCTGATTTAAAAACCCTGCCTGAGCCCAGAGCACCCAAAAGAAGCTGGAAGTAATTTAGGGAATGTTTTTAGGCATGGGATGCTCTGGGGACTAGTGAAACTACTAATGGCTTCTCAAGGTCAATCTGTATGGAAAAGAAATTCATCTTGGTAAGGGCTTGGTATCCTCATGGAGGACGAGGTCAGAGTCGGCACCTCGAGCGCTTTGGCTTTGCGTATGAGGAGACCAATAAGGAAATGATTCCTCATCTAAACATGGATTTTAAATCAAATAACCCAGGGTAGGTTGCTTCCAAAGCAGCATCGACTGAGCAGTAACTCACCTCTGGGTTCCATCCCACAGAAAGGGTGCCTTGGTACCTGACCCAAGCAAGCTGGATGATTTCATTAATTTCCCCCCTCCCCCCCTCTTTTTTTTTTAATTATGATCTCAGGTTTTCCAGGGCTATTTCCATTACTGATGTGCTGCTGTCCCTGCTTCCACCCAAGGCTCTCTGCTCCTCATCACCCAAGGGGCCAACTGCCTCCAAGGCTCTTGACCACACCTATTCCCATGTGCAGACACGGACACAAGGGGACGGACTCCGGCTGAGCGATGCCCTGGTGAACCACCTGGCCTCACTCTCATCATTTAGGACACATTCCCAAGACTGCACTGTGAAATATGTGGATTTACTGAAGATGAATGGACACTGCTTACTAACTGACAGGTTTTTTTGCTCTTGCCACTGCTCCCATACAATTCCTTCTCCCATTATCACTCAGATACTGGGGTTTGTTCAGAATCTGCCTTCTCCTGCATCCTTTATATCCCCATGCCTGTTTCCAGCACCAAACGCACCCCTCACGACCCACGTGTAGCTCCCAGCTGAATTTCTAAGCCCCTTTTGCATTTTTGCCTTCATAAGAGCAAGCACCTCTGTAGCCAAGTTGCCAACTGCCCATTAACTCCATTTATGTGCCTCCAGCACCCATTTTCCATCCTTTCCACAAGTCAGACCCTTCCTTCAATGCTGACCCCCTTCCCAGCCCTTCTGCATTAACTCCTCCATCTGCTGAGTCACTTCTTGCAGACTTTAATAAATTTGGACAATTTCAGTCCAGGGCTCAGAGGAGACCCGGGTGGCACAAGGAGGGATCAAGCAGGTCTGGAAAATCTCACAGGGCAACATAGGAAGCTCCTCACAGCCTCTGAGCATCTTTTAGTGATACAGAAGAGGCCAAAAATATGGCCAGGGAGAGTCTCTCTCTTCTCATGAATCCTAAAACCCAGGCTGGCTATGAAGTCTTCAAAACTGGTGCCACATTCCACCTCCCAGCTATTGGGCTCCCATGAGAAACCACAAAGTAAATGGTCAGATTGCGTCCTGTCAGCAATTATGGTCTTACAATTAATGAAATTAATCAGATGAGGATGTTGCTTCCTTTTGGTCTTGGAATGTGTAATTTTATCAGATGGTTTCAATGCAAGAAGGTGATGGTCAGGGAGGAACCCCCCAGCATCAAACCCAACCCTTCCTGTGAAATTACCAGCTGAACAGTTTAGGATTTTAACCTTATCTCTTGGGACTCATGATACAATATAATAACCCTCATATAATAACCTTCTCCACACAAGATGGTCCCATCAGGTCCAACTCAGACCCTCCTCCTGAGATACAGTTATATCTGATTCACTGACACCAAGTGAAATGTAGAGCACCCTCTTCATCCTCCTCATTTTCCAGAAGGATTCAAATCTGTTGAAATCCATCTAGCACATTTCTAACTCAACTCCAAATGAGCCCTGGGACTCAGTGTAATCTCCACTTAGGAGCAAGTCAATATTTTAATGCTGATATGCAGATGCTATCCAGGACAGCTTTGACTTAACCAAGTCCAAGCTTCATCAAGAGTGGTTAAGAGTCACTTTCCAAACCATTTTGTGAAGTGAAGGACTAAAATCAGTTTTCCCTCAACGTAGGCCAGGGATGTGGTTGGGCTTAGAGCACCCCAACTACATCCTCCTTGCCTTCCTCGTCTGAGTTTCACTTTTTTGTGCCCTACTTTGCTTTGGGCAGTAGCTGGAGCTTGGCTGCATCAGCAGCAACATTTGAGCACCTACCTCAAGCAAAAGAGGTCCCAGAGATTCCTTCTCAATCACTCCTTGGCTGCTGGATGAGATGTCAGACTTCTGGACTTCATCATCAGCTGCTTTCTCTGTAGCAAAGGAAAAGGGATATGTTAGCTAGAAGAACCATCATTTTACTGAATTATTATCAATAATAAACAAAATATTGACCCCTTGTCATACAGGCAATGCAGGATGTGCACAAAAAATTTTCCAACATTTTAATTTCATCCCTCAGTCCAGTGAAGATATAATGTAATTTCTGATTATTTATCAATTATTTTAAAATAAAGACATTAAATAGATCATATCTTACTGCTAGTAGGAAGGAAAAATCCATGTTAAGCAGAAAGAGGCATCCAAACTCAACATTTTGAAAAGGAAACGCCATATCCAGTTTAGTGCAAACTACAATATTTGATCTGGAACTTCTTGGACAATGCTTTAAGAAGTAACTGCTGGGAGGAATTTATGGAGAATGGGCTGTGCCAAAGGAAATCTGCTGGAGGAAAAAACAAAAAAAAAACCCGGCAGCTCTGACCACTGATGTCCTGGGATGATGGTCAGGCAGGAGCCAGTGGGGATAGAGATGGGAGGAGAGCACCCAACACACAGCGGATGCTGCTGCTGGAGGAGCCCAACGAGAAACCCTCATGCTGTAGTGCTGAATAATCCCTTTGGGAAAAATAACAACCCAAAAAGCCAGAGAGAAGGCCCTGTTATTTATCTCACACTCCCCCAAAGGTGCTAGCCACGTCGCACAGCTACTCTGAAGAATTCAGGAACAATCCAGCAGCAAAAGGCGGGTGGGAAGTGGGATGTGATGAAGCCAGCGGGCAAGTGAGCCGTGATGCCGCTGGCGTTTCAAGGCTGTTTCGTTTTGCTGCTCCACATCTATGACTGTTTTCCCCTTGGGAAGCTGGGAATGTTACTCAGCCTCCCCAGACGTGATCTGGGAAGGATGAGGGGAGCAGCATCTCTGTCTCTGGAGGATGCAGTTGAGAATAAACCCTGATGGCTGGGAATGACATGGGAGGCAGCAGTGCAAGCCCTGGCCGGGCACATCTGGGGCTATGGATGGATTAGAAAAAGGGAGATTAATTACTGTTTAATCACAAAGTTTGTGTGAAATAAGGACAGAAAGAGGCAAGTGGGGGCTAAACCTTTCCAGAGAGGATACGTGCTCCACTGACATCATTTTGCAAGAGGAAATCAGGGACATCTCCTATTGCAGGTGCTTTTTGCTCTGAAATGCAAAAAGGCAAGTTCCTAGGGAGGGCTGGAGGGGCAGGATGTGACCCACTGCACCTCGGTGCTCCTTGCACTGCCAGAGGGAATGACCAGCCATGCAGGATGCCCAACAGCACAGAAGTCCTGAAGCATCCTGGGCCCAGGCATACATGGGTAGCTTTGATGCGGGTTTTGATGTAAAATGAAAAAGACTCTTGTGTCTAGCTGAAAAGTGGCTTGAAATGTGGTTGTCTGTTAATTTTACACTATTTACAAGGTTTTCCCAGGTACCAGAACCACAAATTCAGCCTTGTAGCTGAAAATCAGAATCATAGAATCTCAGACTGGTTTGGGTTGGAAGGGACATTAAAGATCATCTAGTCCCAATCCCTGACCTGGGCATGGACACCTCCCACTACCCCAGGTTGCTCCAAACCCCATCCAACCTGGCCTTGAACACTTCCAGGGATGGGGCAGCCACAGCTGCTCTGGGAGTCATACCTGACTCCTGCATCCTGCTACAAACCCCCTTGGGCTGCTCACCTCATCCCTATGGGCCTCACTTTCCTCTGTTTCACACAGAAACTGGAGTTCATAGTTAAATCAGGAAGGAGCAGCATTCTTCCAAGGAAGACACCCAAATCCCTTCCAAGGATTCATAAGCTTCCCCGGCACCCAAACCCACAGGAGCTGGTGGGTACCACTGCACAAGGAATGGCTTTTTTTTGCCCCTACTTGTAAGATATTGGTGCACTTTGAGGCAATGCTCTGGCTTTGAGCTCTAATCCTGTGATTGGGCTGCAGGATCCTCCTCCTGCTTTAGTGAAATAGTTTCATTTGCCTGCTCCAAGCCTGTTATTCAGGAGGATTAATCAGCAGAATGATGCACCATCACTGTTTCGTTCTCCTTCCCACCTTTGCGGCACCAGGATCTGGGAGCAGACAGATCCCTTTAAGCTCCTGCTCACCTTCCCCATCCCTGGCAGTGTCCAAGGTCAGGCTGGATGGGACTTGGAGCAACCCGGTCTAGTGGGAGGTGTCCCTGCCTACAGTAGGGGGGTTGGAACTAGAGGAGCTTGAATATCCTTTCCAACCCAAACCATTCTGAGATTCCATGATTCTGTGCAGTTGCACATCCCAGCAATGCAAAACTCCTTCAAAGAATGAGTGCATCCCGGACAAGCACTGCAGTTAATGTCCTTAAATGCAGCTCTTCAGCTCTTCCATCCCAAGCATCTGAGGAATGTATTACGAGCAAACCACTGGTTTGGACCTTAACTCATTAATCTTCATTTTCATTTCCTCCCAGCATTAATTGCAGTGGTGGCTCTGCTATGCCGGCCACAGGCTGTTGCTCTTGGGGAGCATTGGTCTCAGGCTGAGCACCCCCTGTGCTCATCACAGCCAAACTTGGAGCAAATTCCTGGTTTCCCAAGCTCATAATCTCATTATAAAGATGGAAAAGCAGCTCCACAGGAAAATAAAACAACAGGAGCACACGATTCCTGGTGCTGCTGCCACTTGAGGCTTTTGGGATCCAGCTGCGGGGGCTTCAGCAGCCTCAGGCATCCTAAATCCCCATGGCACAGTAAAATCCTGGCATTCCAACAGCCCCAGTCAGAACCTAATTGCTGCAAACATTATTAAAGCAGTTTTCTTGTGTGTTGTGTGTGTGTGTGTGTTTGTTGTTGTTGTTTTTCTTGCAGCACAGAGAGGAACTATTTTAAATGCATTCCTGAAATGGCGCTCTGGTTTTGTAACATCCAGGGAGATGTCTGGGTGCTTCCAGAGTCTATAGTAGCTGCAGGGTCCTTGGCATTCCAAAAATATCAGGTCAGTGAACTTGAGCCATGAGTTAAATGTGTTATAACCAGGTCACCCAACACTGTTGAAGCTGCAGTGGGTGCAGGATCTGATGCCCCTGTGAGGCCAGGGAACAACATGGTGGCTTTGAACACCATCTCGTCCTGTGCCAACCATGCCCAGAAAAGCCTGGCATGGGGACAGGTGACATTTCCAGCTCACTCCTGCTATTTCACAGCCACACAAGGCTCCTAGCGAGAAGCTGCTGGTTCTTTGCAGGATTAGAAGAAGTGATGGGAAGGCACAAGGCCGGTAGATTTAGGTTAGACATTAGGAAGAAATACTTCGCTGTGAGGGTGGTGAGACACTGTCCTAGGTTGCCCAGAGCAGCTGTGGCTGCCCCATCCCTGGCAGTATTGAAGGCCAGGTTGGATGGGGCTTGGAGCAACCAGGACTCGTGGGAGGTGTCCCTGTTGATGGCAGGGGGTTGGGACTGGATGAGCTTTAAGGTCCCTTCCAGCCAAACCAGTCTGGAATTTGATGATTGTATGAAACTCCCACGGCCAGGATAGCACCTGCACTCCAAAGGGCTGAGAAGTGAGCATGTGCTACCAGAGTGATGGCAGGATCTCAGGAAGATGGGCTTAGGGGACACCTGCCACCTGTCAGTGGCTTAGGGGACACCTCACAGAATCATTCAAAAGATCTGTCAGGTTTGGGACATGTCAAAGGAAAACCTTTAAGCATCACAGGCTTGTGGTGGTGGCCCAGCCATCGAGGGACACCTGAGGTCCTCAGGTCACCTTTATTCTCCTCTGGAATCCCAGCAAGACCAAGCTCTCTCCTCCTCGTCCCTAGGGACCAGTGAGTAGAGGAAGATCCAACCTCAACTGGAGGGTGAAACCAACTTCCAAGGAAGATTGTCCTACATCGTCTACAGGACACATGCTCAGACCACAGCACTGATGGTGTCTTGGAGGTACTCTAAACCAAAAGTCAAGCTGTGGACACAGGTTTGCCCAAAGCTCCCCTATATAATGTCAGCATATGCAGACAGAGGCAGATGCAGAAAACCCAACCCAGAGTCCTCCCTTCTTCACTTACACAAATACCAGATTCCTCTGAAACACTGTATGGAAATCAGCAACTGTTGTGTAACTTTTTATTCTAGTAGGAGGGAGGAAATTATCTGATCTATGAATTTTAGAAACTGTGGAAAAATACAAGCTGTGAGATTAAGAACTTGAAAATACCAGTGTAAGGAACAGAAGAGCAGATCTTGGCTTTCAGAAATGGGCACAGCTCCTTTAGAGCCCCCTGCTCGCCTGCTTTATACCACATGCCATGATGGTCTGTCAGTGACAAGTCCCAGGGTGGTCCCCAACCATGGGCTATAATGCCAGGCAGGAGTGCCAGGGCACTGGGGTAAGATCCATCCCATGGAGCATAGAACGGAGATGTTTTCACCTGAGCTCATCACCTCATGCTCCCCTTGCAGCCAAAGCAGAGAAAAAGGCATTTTTAGAGATTTACCTGATCCATTTTAAACTCTTATTCTAAGATAGAGTCTTAGAGTCTTATCCTGGGGTTTTCTTGGAGTGTTGTTATCCTCTAGCACTCCTCCACAACCAGCAGCCAACCACAATTTGCTCTCTCTTATTTTTGGTGAGAACTGAATTCCTGACTTCATCCCCGAATTCCAATATCAGAGTTAGGTGATGGAAAAAAATACTCCATGCACCTCCAGAGCTAGCAAGGCAGTGCTTGCCTCAGCCCTGAGTATTTCTGTGCCATCCTGGAGAATGTCCTCACTGACACAGACCCAAGTGGCTCTTCCATGAACATTTATTCTTCCACCAATGCAAAAGCACATGTGAACAGGACACATCTCACCAGCAACGGAGCCAAGGCAGGATATGAAGTGCTCGGGGTGTCTAAATGAGGCTCTGGAGCCCATATGGATAGTGAGGATTGAAGACTGAAACTGGTGGCCACTCCAGGAGAGACAACAGTGGAAACAGATCAGTGGAGAGCAGGGCAGCAAGGATGTCCTGCTGCTCTTCCATGTCTGACCTGAGTTAGTCCCAGCAGTGAAGCACACCTCCAGCCACTGTATAGAACATCAAATCCTAAGAAGACCAAACTATGTACTTATTCATTCACCAGCAGATATCTGCAGGTGGGACACTGAATTTATGTTGAGGTTAGTGATCTAAATCATATGACCGAAAGACACAACAGGCTGGTGTTGATATTAACACAGCAGCTTGACTGCTCCTTCCAGCTGCCCAAAACCCCTTCAACACTTATATTTCAAAGCCAGGACAACATCCCATGATGCTGCAGTGCAATTTGCCCCCCAGAGCAGATGACAGGTCCTGTCAGCAGGAGGGCAACAGCCACCTTCAGCACATCTACAACCAACCCCAGGAATGGGCCACTTCTCATGGGACTAACCCAACTCTGTACCAGATCTTCAGGCTGCAGATCCCAAGCTCAATCAACATTATTAACCTTCTATGTGGCTATGGGCTGCTCCCCAGGACTGGCTGCTCCTCCAGCTGGTATTTCTCCTCTTTTCCCATGTAGAGGATAAGAATTTTGAGGGCAGGAATTTTGTTGGGTTTTTATTTAAAAAAAAACTTTTTAATTTTTATTTTTTTTTTTTAAACTCAGCAATAGGCTCAACCAAATTCCTGTGCAGTGCAAATAAACCAATGGTCTTGTTTTAACCTATTCAAACTTTACTATACATTTCAAAGAACATTTTCTAGTGCTGACCTTGTCCTAACCAGACATTCTGGAAGAGTTTGGGTTGTCAGCCTGGAGAAGAGAAGGCTCCAGGGAGACTTTAAAGCACCTTCAGTACCTGAAGTGGCTACAGGAAAGCTGGGGAGGGACTTTTGACAAGGGCAGGGAGTGATGGGATGAGGGGGAACAGTTTCAAGGGGCAAGAGGGGAGACTGAGATGAGACATTAGGCAGAAATTCTTTGCTGTGAGGGTGGTGAGACCCTGGCCCAGGTTGCCCAGAGCAGCTGTGGCTCAAGGTGCAAGAGGGGAGACTGAGATGAGACATTAGGCAGAAATTCTTTGCTGTGAGGGTGGTGAGACCCTGGCCCAGGTTGCCCAGAGCAGCTGTGGCTGCCCCATCCCTGGCAGTGTTGAAGGGCAGGTCGGATGGGGCTTGGAGCAACCTGGTCTGGTGGGAGGTGTCCCTGCCCATGGCAGAGGGTTGGGACTAGATAATCTTTAAGGTCCCTTCCAGCCAAAACCAGCCCATGATTCAGTGATCCCTGGGAGTATTCCAGGTCAGGCAGGATGGGGCTCTGAGAAACCTGATCTAGTTGAAGATGTCCATGCTCACTACAGAGGGTTGAACTAGATGGCCTTTAAAGGTCATTCCCACCCAAACCATTCCATGATTTTATTATGCTGCTTTCACACACTGTGGTGGGTCATCAACTGGTGGTTCTGTCTTGAAGGACACCTGACAGACAAGTAAGACCACAACTGTACATATCCAAAGGCAAAGAGAATCACACACCATCAGCACACGACAGCACCAAGTGCACAGATTAAGATCCAAGACACTGCTCCCTGCTCTGACCAGCAAACATTCCTTTCTTTGGCAGAGTTTACAAGGAAAACTTCATGTTACTGTTCCTGATACAATCCTTGTGTCATGGGGAAGACAGAGCAAAGCACACTGCAGTGGAAACAGAAGGAAAAGCGTATTTCTTGCTGTCTTCACACCTTTTAGAGTTAAACATTAATGGTGTTGAGATGTCTTAAGTAAAAAAGGCTGCTTGTCTGAACAATGTCAGAAGAAATTATACGGTGCTGAGTGAATGCAAAATTAATGAGTGCTGAATGCTGACAGGAGAGAACAGGCATGAAGAGCCAAGACTTTTCTACTTGACGCTGAGATCAAGCAGGTAGAACATCTCCATCTTGCTAGGGGAAGGAATAAAGGGAGAGAAAAAAATATATAAAATGAAACACTTTTATCACAAAGCTAAAGAGTTAAATCTGTTAAAAAAAAAAAGTGTCAGCTCTGCATGGCTACATCTGCAGAGATGAGAAAGGGCTACACAGAATCATAGAACTATTCAGGTTGGAAAAGACCCTTGGGATCACTGAGTCCAACCATCATCTCTACTCTACAAAGTTCTCCCCTAAACCCTATCCACCACACCACATCCAAACGACCCTTAAACACACCCAGGGATGGTGACTCAACCACCTCCCTGGGCAGCCT